GGGTAAGGGGCTTCTGGCTTCTTCTGGGGCTGGGGCCTAGGGACTGGACAATCGCGGACAGGTAGGGTATGGACTCTGAGTGCCCTTGGGGGAATTCCCCAGGAAGAGGGATACGCGTGGGGACAGGAGAAGGAACAGCATGGGCTGGAAGAGGGGTGTTCCCTGACAGGCCAAAGGAAGGACCTGAGAAGGAAACAAGAACTAAAAGACCCCCTAATCCCTCAGAATCCCAGTTCCTCCCTCCTCTGGATTCAGGGTCCCAGAAACAACCTCCTCCAGCCCTGAACTCTTTAATCCCTTACAATGGGACAAGGCAAGGCCTGTCTATAAGTTCTTCTCGTTGTCTAATTCAAATCCCAATTTTGCCCACTCTCAAAGGGGAAGAGGCATCCGCCTCCAGCTGTGGCTTCTTGCTGCCCTCTAGTGGCCACATGGAGAGACGCGCTCTGTCTTACAAGGTTTCTTTTAAGGGCTCAGGCTGAAAACAGCAGCTTGGAAATAATTAGAAGCAAGGGACGTATAAATTTTTTTTAATGTAAGCCTCAGGATCTTGAGTGTACATCAAAATCACCTAGAGGGCTTATTAAAACACATTTCTGGACGCCACTCCCAAGTTTCTAATTCAATAGTTCTCAGAAGAAGCGAGAATCTGCATTTCTAACACGCCTCCAGGTGGTGGTGCTGGTCCGGGGACCACATTTTAAGAACCATAACTTGAGAATTCCCGCTTCTTGCAGGCTCTCGTCTTTCTTGCACCAATTGTCGTCTCCCCAAAAGAGGGGTGGCGAAGGAAATGTCAACATGAAATTGTGGACGGGGGGAAACTTTAAATAAAAACGCGCATGGACATCGTGGTCCACGAAAACTGATCCCAAGGGGGCACCCGGATTTGAACCGGGGACCTCTTGATCTGCAGTCAAATGCTCTACCACTGAGCTATACCCCCTCTGCTAACGTCGTAGCGCGGTAGCGCCTTAGTGCTTTCGCTGCGCAGGCGCTTTGACGGATTTGCGAAAAATGGAGTCCGACGTTTCCAAAAATTGGGAATGATCTCAATCTCAAAAGATTACTCTCCTGAGCGCAGAACTTGTTTCCCGAAAATGCAGTTTGGGAATGTGGGAGGAGAAAGCCCTCGAGATCATTCGAGAGCCCTCGATTCGGAGACATTCTCTTGCGCCGGGTTCCCAGTTTCCTGCCCTGCTAGAGCTCCTTTATTGCTTCTTGGCGCCCCTCTTTCCGTCCCGCACGCTCAGGCGCGCTTCTCTGGGCCTTCCTTCCCCAGCCCAAGCCTGGCCCTTAGATACTCGGCCTCCCTCCCCAGGAAAAGCCGTCGGGTCACTGGCCAAACGGACCTGGGAGTGGGACCGCCTCAGCCGTAGCACTACCGAAGTGGGTCGTCTGTACCTTCCATCTAGGGTTAGCCCGGAGCTCCTTGCCCTCGCACTGCATCCCTCTAGTCTACACACGCGACCTGAGTGCGTGGATCTGCGGGGCGGGGACTCCACCCTGGCCTTCCTGCAAAAGCAGGTAACAGGGCCCTGAGTTGCGTCCCCTCTCCCTTGCTAGGGCACTTTGAGAGGTGGACTGCGGGACAAAGAAAACACGAAAAGGCTGGAACAGAGAGGGGGCACCCGGATTTGAACCGGGGACCTCTTGATCTGCAGTCAAATGCTCTACCACTGAGCTATACCCCCAGCACGCCCTTGGCCACTTCTTAGAATAGATTTCTGTAGTATAAGAAAACATTAAAGTACACTGTTACCTGAGAGCTGTGCCAAAACGATCTAATGGAAAAAGCAGGATCTGAATGGGGATGGCTAGGATTGCTGAGTTCTTCCTCCACAATCACGCCTCAGGAAAACCACAGGGTTAAGGAATCCTGGGACCTCTACAACTGTGTCCTGACTGTCCCTGAGATGTCCACTGCCTGACTTGGGAAGGAGAGAGACCCACAGGTTCCAGGACCATCCCAGGTCTTACGGGGTAACGGCGCTGCTCCCTGTATACAGATGGACAGCCTGGGTTTCCATCCTGTCTTCAGCTCTACCGAGATAGGACTGCTGGGCTTTTCTAATCCCTAAGGGCCTCTACTTCCCTCCTCCATGAGTCAGCATCAAGCCACTCCACCCCTAGCCCCAGGTACAGCCGAAAGCTCCCAGTCCTGGCAAGCCAAGTGTCAGTTACCTGGGCAGAGAGTGATAGAGCCCAGGACCAAAGAGCCAGCCAGTCCCCTGGGCAGATGGACCTTAAGGCACCACCCCCTCTATTTCCAAGGAAGATTTCCCCCTACCTGATAGCCCCGTACAAAAACCAAAAGCCAGTTTGAAGCACAGGTAGAAGGAGCAGGCAGAAATAAGAGGTGAGCAGTTTTCAATGGCATTTATTACACTTTTATAAAAATTCTAAAACAATGTGGAAAAAATTCATTACAAAAGATGGTCAAGATAGGCACTCTGTAGGAATCAGGGAAATTTGGGAGGAATGGGATTCACATTGGAAGGACCGGGAATGAAGGGCATAGGATGAGATGGCTGAACGCTCACAAGCTGTGGTCAGAGCCAGCATCTCAGAGGGAACAGAAAGGCCTGGGAGGAGTGGGACTCCCCGCCATGCAAGGGACTGTCCCTGTCTGGGGTGTCCCGTCCTCCTCCCTCTCCCTTCCCACCAGTTTTTGGCTTTGCCCTCCTTCCCTTGAGCCCGCCCCTTCACCTCTCTGGAATCTCCCTTCCTCAAAGATGGCTGAGGGGCCAGAGAGCTGGGGTGGGAGCCAAGGGGCCGGGGGTGGGGTTCTAGGAAATAAAGAGCAATTCCAGGGGGTCTCTTACTCCGCCCCCCCCCCATTTTTTCCTCAAAGAGGCTGCAGGCCAAGGGGACTGGGCTCCACGTCCTAATCCTTCAACATGTCCGACAGCTTGCCTGGTGCCTCCAAGGACACCTGCTTCCACGGAGGAAAGGGCAGCTTTTCTGCTGTCCTGTCTACAGCAATTCAGGGCATGCAGTCAAGCTCACAGGGTTGGGTGGACTGTGGCAATCTCACGTCACTGTGAGCCGACCCAGCTCCCATCCGAGAATCATAGAAAAGGAATAGTCACTTGGGTTTTCCACCCACGTAGTCCAAGCAAAACCCCCAAAGTATTTGGATGGCCTCAGCCTGGGACATCAGTTGGCAGTGGTCTGAGACTGCATCCACTGGAGCCCCGCGGGCAGCCTGCAGGGAAAGTGGAACAGGGCAAAGATCAGCATATCCTGCAAGGATGATGGCCTCCAAGCCCCGGGCCCCTACCCAGAGCTGACGGAGGGGACAACCAAAGTCGCATCCAATCTCTCAATCGACAAGTATAAATGGACTGAGTACATCAGGTTACTGGTGAAAAAAAACAGACATGCCCTCTGCGGTCTACCGTCTGGCAGAGGGGATGGATGTGGGTTGCGGGAGGAGGGTGGCAAGGACACTATCAGAAACGTGTGGTTCCTTGGGCCCACCTGCCTAAAGTCTCCGGGCGCCTGGGTCCCCAGCCTGCTGTGATCCCACTTGAGAGAGAAAAGAGAATTTTCCAAGCCTGACTCAAGGCCCTTTCTATGTGACCGTGACCTGGCTCCTTCACATCCTTCAGGTATTTATACTCAGCAGCTACTTTCTGGTGGCCCCTCCCTGGTACCTTATCCAAAATGGCAACATTTGCCCACGTGCTTCCAATCTCCTTTGCCTACTTGATCTTTCCCAAGCATTTATCACTTTCTAACTCACTATATATGTTTCTTATTTTAATTGTTTAGTGTCTGCCCCCCCCCCACCCCCCGCCAATGGAAAGTAACCTCCATGAGGGCAGGGGATTTTGTGGTTTGTTCGCCGCTGTTTCTCTGGTGCCTAGAAAAGTGCCTGGCACAAATTTGGGGCTCAATAAATGTTGGATGATTGATGTCACGTGCTCTCAACAGGAACTTACAGAGGGAGTAGGTATACTCACCCTCCTCTTTACAGATAAGAAAACTCAAGGTCAGAAAGAGTCAGCAACTTCTGCCTGGAAGGCTTGCCCCCAGGTCTTCCCATGGCTGTGGCCGTCTTCTCCCCATTTGGATTGCAGCCCAAAGGTCATGTCCTAGTAGAGGGCGTCCCTGACCACCAGAGCTGAGTCAGACCCAACCCTGCCCCGTCTATCACTGTTAATCCAATTTCACTTTATTCAAAGCACCTCTGTGTACCTAAAATGTTTGTGCTGAGGTTGCCTGTCGCCTGTCTTTCAGAATGAGCCTGAGCTCAGGCACTCTATCCTGCTCACTGCTTACCCACAGCATCTCAGCTGTGGGTGGGTGCTTGACTGACTCGGCCCGGGAGCTAAGTGTGAGCCAGATCCTGACAGGAGAGAAACAGAAGGTTCTGATGGTCAGCTGTTCATTGGTTGGGCCGAACCCTGGAGGTGCAGGTGGGGCAGCCACTAACCCTTCCCCAGTGAGGGCACAGCATCCCTGTATGTGCCACGGGTGGTCTTTGATGGCACTAAGAGTGAGGAACTGAGAGATTTCCACGGTGGTCATGGAGTCCTTCATATCCTGCTTGTTGGCAAAGATCAGGACGGAAGCATCTCGCAGAGCCTGTGGACAGGAGAGCCCAGCCCCGGTCAGCCTGCAGGAGAGGCCCACGCCCAGGTGGGACAGGGACAGGGCAACCACATCAAGTGAAAACAACCACATCCATGGACACCGACAGCTCACGGAATGCCTCCCAACCAGCTCATATGATCCTTACAACGGTCCCATGAGGCAGTAATTTGGTGATCCCTCCCATTTCATACTTGGGCAAACTGAGGATACGAGAAGTGAAGTGACCTGTTGGGGGTCCCACAGTGAATGAGAACCGGGGTCAGGACCCAAACCAGCAACTCTGGCTTCTGTGACCAGGCGTGCTGAGGGCATTATTGCTCTTCAGACTGCCAGGGTGGAGGCTCTCAGAGACTGGGGGATCAGGAATGAAGCTCAGAGAGGCTAAGTGAGTCAGCTGAAGTCACACAGCGAGGACACTGGGCTCTCTCCCAACCTCAGGGGCCTTACCTCATGGGCCAGCATCCTGTACAGCTCCTCCCGAGTGGTCAGCAGCCGATCCCGGTCCGTGCTGTCAATCACAAGGATGATGAACTGGCCAGCAGAGGGGAACTGTGAGCCGTGGGCTTTCCCTCTGATGAACGTGTCTCCTGCCCACTGTGCTCCCGGACCGGCCTCTGCACCACCCGGATGTAAGCCCCACAGAGAACTGGTCTGGTCTCAAGCTCTCACTGCCTCGTTGCATTTTAATTCCCTTTTCCACCCAGGCAGTGGGGGGGGGGGGGGGGGGGGGGGGGGGGGGCTCACAGCACAACCTCTGATTGCGTGCCAGAGGCTGGGCCAAGCCCTGGCCATTCACGACTCCGATCAGGTCCCCCGTGCCGTTGGGACCGTTGTGATCCCCATTTACAAATGAGGAGACGCATTCCGCAGGAGGACAGATCTTGCTCTATGACACACAGCTGGTGAGCGGGAGAAAGTAAGGCCCCTGGAGACCAAGTGCCTACCCCATGCAGTGCATCAAAGTGCAAGCAGACAGATCTGCCAAGGAGTATCCAAAAATCTTAACTGAACGCTGTGCTGCATTAAGTATTTGAAACATATGCATTAGCTATTGTTTTATTATTTAAATTTCACAACAATTGAGGGAAGTCATTGCAATCTCCACCTCACCAAGTGGGGGGGGAAGCAAGGCTCAGAGAAGGCTCAGTGATGGGCTCACATCACACAGCTGCCTTGAAGGCCCCTTCCGGCCCCGACGCTCTCCTCACCTCAGTGTTGGAGTAATACGTGTTCCAGGTAGAGCGCAGAGCCTCCTGTCCCCCTATGTCCCACATGAGGAAGTGTGTCTTTTGCAGAACAATCTCCTCCACGTTGCTACCGATGGTGGGAGATGTATGGACCACCTCATTCATCAGGCTGGGGAGGGAAGAGAGGTCACCAAGAGCGCGGCCTGTTCTGTTCCCACCCCTCTGCTCGCAAGTCAGGCTGAATCAAGCTCAGAACGGCTCAGCCCGGGGTTGACCAAGTCTCTGGGCCCAGGGGAGTGCAGGCAGGAGTAAGACCAAGTCTTGCCCTGGTGCAGACCCAAGAGATGGGAGTCTAATTAGAGCAGTGTCCCCAAACTTTAATGTGCAGCTGAATCACCTGGGAGTCTTGTTAAAATGCAGGTTCTGATCCAATGAGCCTAGGCAGGGGCCCAGTGTTTTGCGTTTCTAACAAGCTTCCAGTTGATGCCGATGCGGCTGGTCTGTGGACCACCCTTTGAGTAGCAAGGGATTTTGGGAAAAGGAGACGGATACAAGCAAAGGCCATCAGAGAGGTGCTTTAACAAAGAAAACACTCACCGTTTTATATGTAGGGAGTGCCTCTGGAAGATCCGGGCATTAGGGCGGGGAAACTTAGTTTTCACTGTATGCGTGTGTAGTGTTTGATTTTCTCTTTTCTTCTGGTTTAAAATAACCATTTACATACACTACTTTTTCAGGGGAAAATCTTCCTAAGTAAATACTCTGGAGGCTACAAAGGAGAGAGATGCCATCCAGAGACTGCATATTGGGAAAAGCACCGATGGATAATTAGTCAGCACTTGCGTCCACCTCGGCTGGATCGGGAGCCACAAAGCTCAGCCAGACTCCAAACTGCACCCTCTCCCTTTTGGGTGTGAAGAAGGCGACAAAGTTAGGAGGCAAAGGTGAGGTGCGGGAGTTAGAAAGGAGAGACCGGCCGCTAGGGGGAGGGAAGAGCAGGGAGGCGGGAAGAGAAGTCAGTTTCTGACAGCTTCAGGGCTGCA